TTGCTGGTTGACTTCCCGGTGAGGACACCCGGGATCTTCCTGCGTGGAGTCTCCATGTTCTCCCCGTGCAGCGTGGGTTCTCTCCGGGTTCTCCGGCTTCCTCCCACAGTCCAGAAACATGCTGAGGTTAATTGGTGATTGTAAATTGTCCGTAGGTGTGAATGTGAGTGTGCTTGGTTGTCTGTCTCTAAGTGTGGCCCTGTGATAGACTGGTTACCTGTCCAGGTGAACCTGCCTTCACCCTGAGTCAGCTGGGATAGACTCCAGCCCCCCATGACCCTAGTGAGGATTAAGGTGTAGAGATGATGGATGGATGGATGGATGGACGACTGTGCCAACATCCAGAACAGAAGTCTGCAAAATGACCCGACTGTGGTCGGATTAACTCAGGAGGAGACGAGTCCACCAACAGAGATGAAGTCCAAAGACTGACTTAAGTTCAGAGAACAATTTGGTTGAGAAGTCCATCAACAGGGATTGTGTTCCCGGGTACTCGCAGCGTTGAAGATCTCTCGTGGACCACCGACACCACAGCAGCAGTGGAGAAGGAACAGTAGCGACTCCACTTCCTGATGATCCTCAGAAAAAACAACCTGCAGGAAGAGCTGCTTGTGTCTTTTCACCACTGCTCCATCGGCAGCGTGCTGGCGTCCTGTGTTATTGTGAGGTTTGCCAGCTGTTATGCAGCAGAAAGGAGAGCCCTCCAGAGGATCATCAGCACCACTCAGGAGATCATCAGCTGTTCACTGCCTTCTTTGGAGGACTCAGTCAGCTTTCACTGCCTCAGGAGAGGAAACATTCTCAGGACCAATCAGTGCACGGCCCTGCAGCACAAAACACTGTTGTAGGAGTGTTTAGAGGAGATGTTCTCCTGGTTGTTCAGTACATTTTCTGGATATGAGGATTTGGATCGATCTTTGCATTAGTGTTGGAAACTTATATAATAATTGTTAGAAGTGGAACCAGTAACAGAGCTGCTGATTGAAGGTTGTGTGTCATTAGGACTGAACCCATAGATTTCCACCAGAGCTGTAATGATTATTTGATTAGTTGTCAACTATTGAATTATTCACAAACTATTGTTCTTCATGTTGTTTGTATGCTCCCTCTTGACCAGGTCATTACTGAAAATGAGAACAAGTTCTCAGCTAACTTACCTGGTACAATAAAGGTTAGATAAATAAATACCATTTTAATTATTGATTAAAAAGAAAGTCAGAATACTTTGATGACAGCATCTTCAGTGTGAAATATTTCAGTTTTTAGTTTTTAAAAAAAAATCATCTTTGACACTCGTCTTAATATCTTTGGGATTGTGAACAAAACTGGGCCTTGGAGGACGTCATCTTAGGCTCTCATTTCTGACATTTTATAAGCCACACTGTCAATCGATTAACCTAGGTAAATAATTAACAGATTAATCAACAATAAAAAGAACTGTTTGCTGCAGCTCTACTTTCCACACTGATGTCCGAAACTGGAACAATTTAAATTTGAAGTCAACCCAACGCAAATAAACCAGCTTCAGGAGAACGTCTCTGCAGCTTCTTTGCTTTGGTCAACGCTGAACTCGTCGGCTCCTGCGACACCAGCTCAGGGTGTGCAACAGGTTGAGCCGAGTAAAGCCGAGCAGACGTGTTGATTCCTGTCAGTTGATAAATGATTGTAGCTATTAAATACTCTATTGAGACAGGTGGTCATTAGTCAAGTAACGCCTGTGCATACATGTGTCTGTCTGCTGAGCAGCAGGACTTGTGCTGTACGTTGCATAACGGAGGCTCTGGACGGCTCCTTGACACCAGCTCAGGGTGAGCAACAGGTGGAGCCGAGTAAAGCCGAGCAGACATGTTAATCCCCGTCAGTTGATGAGTAATTTTGTATATTGAATACTAAGTGGAGTCCGTGTGTGCACTCTGCAGGTCTACGGCTCATTGCGTGTTTGCTTTACCACAACATCTTATATAAGAGGAGCTGCTGGCAGGTGCTGCGTAACTTCAGACGTTTCTGAGTTTGTTTGGAGGTAATCTGAAATAAACAGTGTTTTCTGTGAGCTGAAACTCAACTGGGCACATGTTATCGTATACTGTACTTGTTGAAGTGCAGAGGGCAGCAACGTGAAAAGATTGTCCTACATTTCTCGGACTACTATCTTCTAGTATCTTCAGTGACTGCTTGATAACATGTTCTGATACTGTTAAGGTACGGCAGTTATGGATCAAAGGTTTCAGCTCCTGACGATGGACCTGAAAGAGTTTATCAAGGTCGCAGCTACAAGACTCGTTTAGGCTAAATTCATAGAAAACTGTGTTGTATAATTGACCCGTGTCGCCTGTCAGCTGTAAATATCAAAAGGTCCAGTTAGTCATTTGCATGTGAAATCAGTTCCAGAATTTTTTTCACATGACAGAAAAATTCCTGTTTTTGATCAGGGTACAGTAAAGCTTCTTTGCCGTTGAGTTTCACTGCCTGATATGCAACCATGAGATGCATTTATTATACTTAAAATAAATACCGTGGCCTACTTATCAAGCTCAAATAAAAGAGCTGGTTTGGTCTATTTTTGTTACTCATTGATTCCACCGCATGTCAGCTCTCAAAGTCATGCAATAGGATCATTATTATTTTTAAAAATATGTTATAAATAAAATGTTCCAGTGACACCGTCTGGATGCTGGGAGGCATTACACGTGTGCACCTGAAGGCATGTTCAGCATTCTGGTGTGCAGAGTGTCAGTGAGCCAACTTCACTGCTTATTCTTATTTTCATTTCATTAAAAAAAAAAAAGAAAATACACTTTTTAATTTAGGCCCTCAAAGCAATGTAAAATGCCAACACATTTTTATTTCAGTCTAAATATGAAGTTTTCATTAGTATGGGAACTAAAATAGTGACATTCTAGGGCAGGACACTTGCAGCAGATGAAGCATTTATTTCAGAAGGACTCTCATGGAAACAGGTTTGGTGCAGACACAGGAACAGGCAGAGACAAATCAAGATTAAACAGAGTTTAATTTAAATAATCAACAGAACTTACACCAAGAATGGGGAATGTAAGATGGAAGGGGTACTAAATATCAAGCAACCAAACCTAAAGCAAAGAAGGGGAAAAGCTAGAAAACACTAAAAAATAATCACTAACTAAACTAACAGGGGGGCAAATAATAAAATAAGAAATACAGAAGGCTGGTCTTAGTTAACAAAAACCTACCAGGGAAAGGCAGAGACTGGCCGTGGGGAGGGAGTCGGGAGTTGGGATCAGGCAGGACAGGTCAGGGTGACGAAGGCTTGGCAGGCTGTGGGCACGATTGGATGGTGGACAGGAAACCGAGAAGCAGCCGGAGAATCCAAGGCAGTGTGGAGATATTTGACGGCACAGCGGCCAAGAAGCCGTGGCAGGGAAACAGGTAACCGAGTCATTGAGCTGGGTTTTATGGAGCAGTGGCGATTAGATCCAAGTGAGTCAATTACAGCAGCTGTCACTGATTGAGCTGATGAGTACTGACAGGGAGAGACCAAGAGGGAGACGGGTGAGGGCTGGACCAAGGCTGGGGGGTCATGACAACGACACACATCTGTTCGAATGATGCTTTGAAACAACACAAGAATGACACTGAGAGCCTGAGACTCACAACACCTGACTAAATGAACACAATATGAGCACCGATGCAGCAAAAAGCTGGTGAACTTTGCTGTAGATGTGTAGTAATTTGCAGCTGTAGGAGTGAGCAACGTAGAGGACAGGTGGAATAAACAACACTGCCTTAGCTGTAAAGTTAATTAGTTGGGACTCTGTGTCTACCAGAACCACCAGGAAACTGTATTTCAGAACAAGATGCTGCAACAGACTAAAAGATGAAAAATTTCACTGCTGGAAAGTCATAAAACTCGTCTGTCTATGTCGTCAAAGGCACAATTTTCCTTTAAATTGAAAGATTCTTTTTCCTTCTGTATCTCTGCAATACACAGAAACAGACAGAATTAACATGCCTACTTTAAAACAACATAAAAAGCCCATAACCATAGAATTTCATGAAAAACAAACAAACAAACAAAAAATGGCATTCAGAGCAGCTAAAATACATCAGAAAAGAAAACCAATATCACAAATATTTCCTTTTCTTTAAATGAATCAAACTGTTGAAGTTTAATTCTGTAAATATATTTGTAAAATTAGAAACATGACATTCTCACAGATGCATTTTAATTATAGAAAATTACAGTATTTTTACAAGATGGTTATTTTTTGTTATTTTATAGCAGCTGCCAAAAATAATGTTTGTTTTCCAGGTTTTTCCAGTTTATGTAAAGGACAGATGAAAATGATTCTTTAAATTAATGATTAATGGGCAGAAAAAAGGTCATCTGGGGACAGTCTGGGATGTTTTTCATCTGTTTTTTTTTTCCCATAGTGCTGCTGCTGCTGCTGCTGGACAGGCTCGACCCCGGCCTCTGCTGAGACCACAAGTCTAGAAATCAATGAAGCACAGGTTGAGCCAGTTCATGTAGACATGCTTCCTATTTTATAATTTATGATGATGAAAAGCTCATTTAACAAACGGTGAAGTCAACCTTATACAATTTGAAGTAAGCTTTCCTTTTGTCTTTACATGTGCAGATAGTTTTAACGTTCAGTTCAGTTCAGTTGTTAAGAATGTTTAACTTATCTGAAACTGGTTTTCTGTGTTCATGCAGAAACAAATGACTTCATACATTCAGGGGGAAAAAGGACTGAAACTCATCGTCATTCAGTAAATAGACTTTATTTGACACAATTGAAACAGTAAAACGAAAAACTGGACTTACAATGAATAGTAAACAGGTGATGCTGTAGCTACATGCTATATCGTGGTAACTCACATTTGTTTCATATATTTTTAAGCAAAAATGCACAAGTTAAATAATGTTCATCTCTTTTTTTTCCCATTTACTTTTGAAACAATGTTGAACAAGTTTTGAACACTTTCAGGTTTTTGTTCAGATGATGACGACGAAGGTGAAATCAAATACTAATCTCCAGCTTTTTACCCTTTACTTTTAAATAAGACCTGTACTCAGCAGGAGCCTGCTGCACGTAATCAGTAACAGCGCTGTTGAGTTGATTCATTGCGTCTCTGACAACCTTCAGAATATAATTGATGGTGTCATTTATATATTCGCTGGTCATAGCTAAGTTTACGTACTCTTTGGCTGCTTTCATTAAGCTGACTTGTTTAACATAGAAAGCATTAATGTAGACAGCAATGGCATCGAGGACATCAGACTTCAGGCTGTTATCGACAAAGTCTTGAGCTTTGTCAACAAAGGATTTGAGGGCGGCACCCAGTTTTTCCAGAGACATGTCCAAACTCTTCAGGTGCTTCAAAATACCCACAGCTGGATTAGGCGTAGTCTTCAGCCACTCCCTAACTTGTTCGATTATTTTGGCTCCAGCCATGACATCACCAACAGGCATTGTAACCTCGATTTTACTGATCACGCTAACCAGTGCGTTAAAAGCATATTCAACATTAACAGACACCATGTGACTTGCCTTTTCTATCATATTGGTAACACGAGTGGTCAGCTTATCGATCACCTCAATGAGAGGGGTCATCTCATCAGAGCCGGGCACTTTGACCCGGGTCTCTCTTAGGAACCTGATGGCAGCATTCAGGAAGCCCTGAACAGCTTTCTGGTACTGAATGACAGTGTTCCTAAAGAGGATGGACACCTGGCTCAGATGTGAGGCATGGGTGTTTGCAGAGTTGTAGGCCTCCTCAATAGAGTCAGTAATAATGTTCTTCAGCTGAGCAGCATGTCCGTACAGTTGGTACTTTTCAGCAAAGCTCGACAAACAGGAGGTGATGGCAGGAAGCCTTTCCTGTAATCCGCTGAGCATAATTTCTGGGGCGTCCATCTTGAAGGCAATCTTCAGATTAACTTTCTTGTCCGTGTCCTTGTTGGAGAGTTTGGCGGTGACGATATCAACATCTTTTCCAGGTTCGGACTGTTTAACAAAGACATAACAAAACACCAGATGAGATGCTGAACTTGTGATGATTATAGTTGTGCGAATAATATCAATAAGTGGTTCTTACAGCGTAACGGCCATAAAGCCTGAAGTTTATCTGAGACGGGATTTTGCCATTGAGCTGAACACCAAGGAGACCAGTAGATGGTACAGAAATTGTGGCACTGATTCCGTCTTTGCGAATGGCATAGCGCAAGTTCATGTCAGTGAAGTCAGGGCTGGTTATGTCCACATTTAGGGTGACATGGGAGCCGCTGTATAAACAAGAAGGAAAAGAAAATAATGTTTACACTGAAGAAGAAAACCTTATCCAAAAACTATTTTGCAGGGAGCAGTCACAGCTGTTTTTCATCATACGGCGTCTTTATGTAGAAACGAAGCAAAATGAATGTGACATTGCATAGCTAGTCAAAAATACAGCTGTAAAATAATAAACATATAAAACACGTTTACAATTTTTACCTCAGTGTATGTGAAAAAATAGGAGTAATGTCCATGGTGAAATCACTGTTTCTGAAAACCGCCTTCCCAGTCAGGCCCAGGCCAGCATCTTCAACGTTCATGGTAATGGAGGCTGTTGAAAAACATTTACATGAGTTAAACTTTGTAATGATGGTTTTCTATTGATATGAATGGATATTATATGCTAAGAAAAAAAAACTTACAGTCCAGGTCATATTCCAAGATGACGATAGGAGAGGTAGCAGAGGACTTGTAGATGACTTTGAAGACAGGAACACTGCCCTCCACCTCAGTGGTCATCTCTGTGGTGTACAGTGGACTGGCAAACTTAGCATTGGTGGAGATCTTCTGTTTGGCAGCTGTCACTTCAGCAACAGTCTTCTCATAGATAGTGAAGTCACCCAGGCTGGTTGGCTGAGACATGTCAATCTCAATATCAGCAGTCAAGGAAGAGATTGGTGCAAAGTCAATGGTTGCCTGAGCATTTTGTTTTCCCTTGGTATTGAAGTTGAACATGTTTGCCTCGTTGTTGCCAATGTACTTCAACACTGCATACACACGGCTCAGGGAGGCTTCAATGGCCAGATTCTCATTTACATCCATGCCAATGACTTTGGTTGCACCGGAGTTAAGCTTGGCATCAGCAATAACCTTGGAAGTGGAGCGCAGGCCATCACTATTCAGGTAGAGATTTGCCTCATTATCCAGGACTCCCAAAACTATATAGTCTTCAAACACGCTGCCATCCATGCTTCCTTTGATGGATGACTCCATGGAAACATAGTCAAAGGTTCCTTCCATCTTCAGACTGTGATCTGCGTCGGCCTTTCCAACAGCCTTGATCATAGGGATGTTGAAATTACCCGTCACCCTGAAGGTGGAGACAGCATTTGCTTTGGTTTTAGTGTCTGCAACCAGATTTTGGTTTGCTTCCAGGTTGAGTATCGGCAGGGCGATCTTTGCAACAGTAGCCACAGAGATGGCACTGTCGAAAGTCTCAGTGCTCACGCTGATGGTGCTGTCATGAGTGCCTTCCATGTGAGGATTTTCGAGGGACAGGGAATTGGCCAGTTTGATTCCTCTCTTGGTGGTCAGACTGGTGGTGCCATCAAGTTTGGCTTTTAGACTGTCAAACACAGAGGCGGTGGTGGCTCCAAGACGGAACACAAGATCATCCTCGGTATACATTCCAGCATTGGCATTCAGATTAATGATGGCAGACTTGAAAGACAGCTCTGTAATCAGGTTGCCCATAGGGGGAATCAGACCAGTATTCTTGGCAAGGGTGTCAGCTTGGCTTTTTTGGTAAACAATCTTAACATCTGCATCAACACTCTGCTCAGGGGTCGTCAAAACGTATTTTAGCCCAGTTTGCTCATACAAGTTGAGGTTACTAATGGCTGGGGTCTGGAAGTCAACAAAAGGCAGCTCTATCTCAGGAATGCTAATGGGCCTAGTCAGGAAATCAAGATTTGCTTTCCCCTCCACGGCAGCAAGAAGAGCAGCTTCCTTGTCATTATGCTCTACAGTGAAGTTCCACAACAGCTTGTACTGATTAAGACGGGCCAGAGCCACAGTGTTAATGTGTTGATTGTCAGGCCTTAAGTTCGCTGAGTAGTCATTCTGCAGATCAATTTTGGCAGTAAGAGCATCATTAAAACTGACCCTTGTGTTTCCCTTATTTTGAAAGCTAAACACAACCTCTGTGGGACAGACAACAACGTAAATCACATTGTTTAAGGCACCACTGACAATACCAACTAGATCTGTACTATGTGTGGCCTTATACTCAAGCTTTCTGTCAGGAAAATTGACATTTACTGATCCCTCTATAAGACTCTTTCTGATTGCGGGGCCTTCTGCTTCAGAGCGAACATCAAACTTGAAATTGCTGAACATGGCAAAATCAGCACTCAGGGTCTGTGTCATCTTTAGAAGCACTGCATCTGTGTCACCTGTCAAAGTCACCTTGACTGTATCTGGACTGGCAATGACTTGTAAGTCACTCTTGTGGGTAAGCTGATGAGAATTGTATGTATTAGTGCCTTGATTTTCAACAGTAAATGTAACAGAGGTACCTTCTTGGCGTGCCACAGATTTTTGAGTAGCAGAGGCATCACTTGTGAGGCCAGGAAGGATGAGTGTATGTTTATAGGAGGTGTCAGCAGAGGCAGACAAACCACCTCTGGTGGCTAAGAAAGCTTCATTTAAAAGCTCAGCACTGTAGGGTGCTGTGGTAGCCTTTACTGTGGTCTTGGCTGAGGCCTGGGCTGAGAAGTCAGAAAATGTTACAGATGCTTGGTGGTCCACTGCAAGGAAAACATGAGTGAACTTCAGGGTCTCACGAGCACTCACATCATGCTCCTTGGGAATAGCAATCCGAGCATTGGAATCCAGATTGTAGTTAAGGATTTCAAATGTTGGAGATTTGCCTTGGGAAGTCAGAAAAGCTGTCAACTGTGGGTTCTCATCTACATCAAGGGAGCTCTGGATTTCTGCAGTATTCCTAATGGTGTAGATGGGGATGTTCATCTTTATCTCATAGCTCAGTTTACCAAATGCTGGAATCATAATCCCACTGGGGATTACTGGCAGCTTAATTGTTGGCATTTCTAGAGGAAAGTTCACAAGTTTGTCTGCTGGAAAATGAGGAAGTGTGGGAAAAGAGAACTCAGGTACAGTAATCTCAGGAAGTGACAACTCAGGCAGAGTGGGAAGGTAGCTTAAAGTCAGGTGTCCATATGAAGCACCAATATTAAACATCTCCAGCTCAAAGTTGAGAATTAAATCAATGAAGTCAATGATTCTCTGTTTAATGTCATTGGCTGATAGGACAGTGGCTGGCACAGTGTGAAAACCCAGGATAGTAAACTCAGGAATGTCCAGCTGTGATGGGATTTCAAACTGGTGAAGCTTGTTTATGTTGACTTTCATGGAAGGCACAACAAGATCGGTGAGAGGAACTGTGAAGGCTGGTATGCTCAGCTCTGATTCCATCAGTCCACTAACAAGCCCATTGATGATCTGCAGTACTTCCTTGATGATTTTTTGATCAAATGAGATCGTCTTAATGATCTCAACTGTACTGTTGAGAATACGAGAGACAAAAGCTCTGAATTCTGCATAGCGTTGGCTTGCCCACTGGATGGAAGTGTTGATTTTAGCATTCACATCCAGTTGCACAATTTTCTCCTTAATAATTTCAGCAAATTGCTTGAGATTATTAAACACAACCTTGTCAATGGTACCTGTTGCAGTTTTAATAAATTCTGCAATATCAACTCCTCTCAGTTGGTCTACAGAATCCCGAACAGAGGATACGACAAAGTTGGCAAAATCTCTCAATGCCTTGAGTTTCTGGGGGATTTCAAGAGATCTGATCAGGTCATTTACATTTGCAGTGTACTTTGCAATGATTTGATTGATGTGATCTACAAAGTCATTGTAATCAAATGACCTAATTTTCTCCTCAATAATGTCAATATATGTGTTCAGCTTGGAAATTATGTCCTTAATCTCCATTGCTTTCAAATAGTTAATAACATCCTGGAATACCTGCATGAATTTGGAAGGAATATCTGCATCTTTCACCATTCTGACTCCAGCACTGATGGTTTCCTCAATCCTGTACTGTTTAATGAGCTCCACAGCTTTTTCCAAGACAGCCTGAACCTTTTTGTCAACCTCAAACTTTACAATCAACTCCTTCATCCTGGCAAAGAATGCGTTGATGTTACCAGCAATGTCGAGGTTCTGAATGATTTCCAGAGTATTGTCTATGACATCACTGAGAATCTTTGGGGGAGCCTGATTCACAAGTACATCAATGCAATACTTCATCACATCTGAAACGAACCTCCTACACTCAGCAGCAAATTTCGCCAGGTCAAACCTCTCAACTGTCTGTCTAATACCCCTCATACCTTCCTCTAGACTATCCTTGATTCCATACTTGGCATCAATATCATACAGGAATGCAATACTGCTGCCCTTCACTTTGTTCAGGTCAATCTGATGGACAAACTCTCTTATGGTCTCAATCACATACACAAGCATACCCTTGATGTCATACTCCTCATTAATGGCATTCAGCAAGTTTTGGATCTGCTGAGCAAAGACCTCTGGGAAGTTGGCACTAACAAAAGTCTCCTTTATCAGACTAACAAAGTTCTGGATGTAAACAGTGAGATCAGCCAGAATTTTCTGAACAGCAATCTTCAAGTTTCTCAAAGAGGCTTCTACATCTTCCATGGAGATGGCATAGTTCTGGGTAAAATCTAGGAAATACTGTTTCAGCTGAACTGCCTTGTCTTCAATATTCATTTGAGCAACAAAGTCACTTATCTGCTCGGGAAGAGCCTCAAGTTTAGCCCTGACCTCGTCATTGTTGATGTAGTCTTGCAGTGCCTCCGCAACATGTACAGCAAGCACCTTAATCCTGTCCATAAAAACAGCAAAACTTTCAAATATGGGAATATAAATCATGTGACTATTTGTGCTCTTGTCATACTTTAAGAAGCCAGAGATGGTGAATTCCTGGTTATCTGCAGAGACTGAGTTGATGATGTTTGTAAGGATGGTGCCTGAAGCCTCGATTCCAGTTCTCTCAGCAGTGTTGTAAATACTTAAGTCTTGATTAAAGGCATGCTCATTCAGTTTGGACTTCATTCTAAAACTAGTCTTCTGCTCTTGGAGTGACAGCACATTGTCCATGTTGTTGTCAAATGTGGTCTGAAGGGACAAACCATTATTCAGCTGCTGGTTCACTGATGCTCTGCATTCATGTGAGCTGGCAAAAGCCAGAGGTTGTGCTTTCACAAGGAGCTTGCCATAGAGCTGGGCACTGTGCTTTCCATACATGGTCACGTCTCCATCAGCATTGAAGATGGCGTCTAGGTTGAAATCGAAAGGAACAATGCTGCAACGGATGGTGTGGTCAAAGCGCACTGGCTGTGAGTTGAAGCGGGCATCATTGCTGAACCTGGCAGCCAGGCCGATAACTTCGAGTTCAGTGTTGTGGCTCATATGAGTTCCAAAGAGTTTTCCAGTGGTGCCGCACTTTGCATTGGCGATCATATCAGCATAACTGACCTGATAGATGTGCTTGATCTCTTCTTCACCATAGATGGCCTTCAGGCTTCCGGTCAGGTCCATCTTGTAAAGCTCAGCTTGCAGTTGTGCCTCATTAATGAATTCAGCTTCCAGAAGTTTGAGGTTATTCTTAACATTTGCAGAGGCAGTGTACGGTTTCAGGTCAAAGGTGATATCATGAGTGTAAGAGGCATATTCACTTGCAGTGGCTTCAGCCTTTGAGTTAAAGTCAAGGCTAGACCGAGTAATGGTCAGAGTGTTGGCATTATCAACCTTCATTTCTCTGATTGCTGCCTTGTTGGTAATGGACAGAGAAGCCCTTGTAGAATCAAGCCCAGCATCAAAGGTGTTTTCGAAGGACAGGGGGCTCTGGAGGGTAGTTGTTCCACTTGTGGTCAAACCATCCTTGTTCATTTTCAGAGAAGCCTTGTGAGTAGCCTCATTCTCAAGAAGCTTGATGTTGGCGTCGCTGTTGACAACCAGACCATTGACATCAAGAGAAGCAGTCAGCAGAGAGTAAACACGGTTGTCAGAGTGGTCTGCATTTGTTTCCATCTTCATGGCCACATTACCGGCACCAGCAGATGCTTCAGCCTGGTTACGGATCTTCATACCAAAAGCAAAGGCATTTGCATCACATTTCAGTGACAGCTTGCTGTCTTTGAAGGAAAGGTCAGCAACATGAGTGAAAGTGTCTTCAAAGGCATTAGTGTTAGACACAACTGAGAGTTCGCCATTGAGAAGTGTTGCAGCGATTGTGTTCTGGGCCTTAACAAAGGTGGAGTCTAACTGAACATTAGAATCAATCTTTGCTTCTGGTCTGAATGGGAAGATGTTGAATGACTGGGTTGAGGTGGTCTTGCCATAGATAGGTCCAGCTGCAAACATCCCCTCAAACTTGTTGTCAGCAGACATTTCTTCAGTGTTGATTCCAACCATGCCGTCGTGCTCAAAGACAACATTGAGACCAAATGGGCTTTTGGCTTCCATCTTGCTGCTAGATTTCATGTTGATTTTATCTGTGATGGTTGCATCCTCAACAATACTAAAACTGGCTTCAATGAATTTATGGGCCAAAGAGCTTTTCAGCTGTGCTTTGATGGAGTCAGTGGTGGCCAACATCCCAGAGCCTAAACACAAGACAAAAAAAAAGAAAACACAAATAATGACTGAGCTGACAAAACTTTAAGATTCATTTGATTATGTACTTTGTAATTCCACCGTAAATGTTGCTATTTAGCTAAGACTGATTAGCATAACCATGTCCTAAGTGAGCGAAACACAAAAAGCATTGCGTCATGTTGCAAAGTTTGGCCCTGCCAGGACTGTCATCTTTCTTCATTCTATTGGATTTTTAAAGCCTATGTACCTTAGACTGCTCTTTCAGGTTTTTCATTTATGTCTAAAACAATAATTGTACAATTTCTGGATTCATTACTATCATTTATTATCAAATACCTTCCATCTTCATTGAGAGGATCTCAATTGGGGAGGTTCCTTTCACATCGAACTTAGCTGAGTAGCTTGGTGTTTCCACAACATCTTTGCCAGCAGCCACTGAAGCCTCGATGTTGTATAAGTTGCTCCTCATTGCAGTTACAACCTCAGCTTTGCCAAAAAGAGGAAGAGGAAAAGTAAGGCTCTCGGGGAAAACCAACTCTGGGATAGGAATCTCTACAGAGATGATCTCCAGTCCAAACTGGGGTAAAACCACGTTAGGCGTTGTCAAAGCTGGGGGGAAGTTAAGCTCCTGCGTTGACTTTCCTCCAAGAGGGAGAGGTATAACAATGGTGACACGTTCAGTGTTGAAGTGGTAGACAGCCTTGGTCTCACTGTGACAAAAAAAAATGAAAAAACATTTTCAATCGTGTTTTATGGAAGTTAAGGCATTGGTCACTGAGTTTTGTCAGACTTACGTATTCAGGAACAGTGTCTCGGGCAGTGTAATCTCAGGCATATCAGGCACTTTGAAGTTCTGAATGGAAGGATAATCAGCTGCATACACTTCCAACTGGCTGTTTGTTGCCTATAGAATACGAAAATTGTGTTATATGCTTTACTGATCAAAACCTAAGAAGATCTGACAAAAATAACTCTGAAAAATGATTCTTACTTCCACAAATGCCTTGAAGATCTGACGGACTTTCATGTCAGTCTCTCCAAGCTGCATGTCAAGAAGATCGTTGCCATACTTTTGAATCATGTCAGAACGTGGGAGCACGTCCAAGATCTCAGAGTTCACATCCGACTTCAATCCAACCTCCATCTTGCTGGTGTCTGCACAGAAAAAGATGAGATGATAGTGTTAGAAAACATTCCTCAATAGCCTCAGACTAGGGTTCGGATTTAACATTGTTTTTTAAAGAAGTCTTGTCCACCTTTTTTGGAAATTTGTTCACAAATTAAAGTGAGACAAAGACAAGTGTCAGACCTTAAAGTTAAAGATAAATCAACCAGTTATAACGTAAGGTAAAGCAACAACAAACAAGCATGCAGAAAGAGAAGAAAGATATTGTCACTGGAAAGTTATAGTACCATATTTCATTGTGATTTTCTGCTCAGATGTTGTTCCCGGGAGCCTGATTTCACTCTTAAGTTCCAGTTCCAACTCCTGATCACGTTTCATGTTAGCGGTGACAGTGGCATCAGCACTGATTGAGGGGACCAGAAGCTGGACTTGCAGCATACCTTCCTTCATGGCCTTCAGACTGAAACATGAACCAGTTAGTAAACTTACCACGTCACAGACGGGTGACAACAGTGCTATTTAAGATTTTTAGTTCCTTTCTTACTTGGCGCGGCCAACCAGGGAGAGCTGAGGGATGTTCTTGTTGACGAAGTCGAGAGAGATGGAGTGAGTTCCTTTGCCCTTGGTGTTTCCATCAACAACACCCAACCTAAGACCGGCCTCTACATCGTAGTCAGGGATCTGGATGTCGGCTGTGATGGCATTTTTTCTTCTGTTGTACTTCATGACTGCTCTGGCTTCAGTGGGATCTGCACCTGTTGTTGACCAACCGGTTGAATAACTTTAAACTTCAGTGCTCCTTTAGATTGAAGTTGTGGTAATATGGAAAAAAATGTCAATATTGGACATTACCCTCCGCCCTCAGAATGAAGTTCACAGAGTCAACCTTCTGCCGGCCATCATCTCCCTCCTTGAGGAGCTCGTAGGCAACAGTGGCTGTGTATTCAGTGACTTCACCGGTAGGATGGAGCTCCACAGCAAATCTGCTTACATAATTCAGTTAATGAGCAAACATTCTTAAGTAATTCATTTTTAAGAGACAGTTATTTGCTGGTGGTTCAGAGAGTCTTGCTCACTTGCTGTCTCCGGTGAAGGGGAAGTACGGGGCCGTCTCCTGAGAGAAAGCATCAGTGTACTGTAGCTCAGAGCAGTATTTCATTCCAGCGAAGACTGGAGTGCACTCACGGACATCAACCTTGTCCATCACCATAGGAGGGATGGTCTTCACTTCTGATCCAGTCACTGCCATAAGCTTGTTTCTGGGAGGGATCATAGCATAAGATTTTGATGAAAGAGTCTGCTAAATATTTTTTAAGGTCAAGACCTCACATAAAGGTACATGTAACTTCACCAGGAATGTTTTATGTATTTCTTGGTGAAATGTGTCTTCTATGAGGAATCAGATCCTCATATACTTTACCTCTAGGCAAGTGCAGCTGTCTTTAAATACTGTATATCTTGTTTTTTTCAGTGACCATCAGTATCCAATTTTTACTTTAATTTAATAGCTGTACCAGAACCAGAAATGAGTAGCTCATATTACAAAGGCCTTGTAGATGCTCTTGATTTACTGGATGTAAATCTTCTCGCATGTGACTGCTAATAAGAACAGCTACTTGGCTTACGATAGGTTGATGAGTTTTGTTGGACCCGTTGGAGCAGGAATGGTCAGCTTGACTCGGTCCGGTCCAATGAAGATCCTGGCATTGAGGCCACTCTCATGGAAAAGGTTGGTGTACATTTCTAATCCAGAGTTGGCATATTCTGGGATGTGGGAGCCAAACCGAGTTACAAACTCGATGCCAGCGGAGGGTGTGAAGGTTACTTTGCTCTGCATGGAAACATAGCCGACATCAACAACTTGTTGTGGTGACTCTGGAAAGTGTATCAAGTTAATTTGCTGTACAACACGAGTATCCTAGGAATCTGAAGTACACTTACCATGTCACGAGCAATATTGATTCCACCCTTGATACCAGGGGCGAAAGTACCAGACAGTGAAACCCTCAGAGGCACACCAGTGACAGTGGGCAGGAAGAACTCATTGTCCATGAAGATGTAGTGGGCAAAGAAAGTGTTGTCAGCCTTAGTCATCAGCGCCTTCAGCAGCTATCAAAGAAGGAACACAGATGTTACCAAAATAATAAGCAAGAATAACTAGCATCTGTCAAACATATGCATGAAAAGAACAACTTTTCCTTACATCAGCTGGGAACATCTTGAGCATGCTGTCGATCATCATGGCAGCAGAATAGGCCATCCCTTCAATTTCACTGGTCTTCAGATAACCCAGCTCATTTCCCAAAAGTCTCAGATAAACCATGGCCTCTGGAGACTCTGCAGACTTCAGTTCCCTCACCAGTTTGTTGATGTTGCGCCCGATCTCTCTCATAAAGTTGTGGGAGACCTATGAATGTATGTGTACATAGTATATCACTGAATCCACTGACTTTGTAAAAAATCTAATATTTAATACTTCATCCTTTTATACAAAATACTAAATTCGATACCTGTCTGTTCATCCTGTCCCTTTTGTAAGCAGGCATAATGTTCTGCAGGATCTCATTGACTTTCTGGGGCATGTTGTCAGAGACGAAGTACATCGTCTTCAGGGCGATGTCAGGGAAGAATCCACTCTGTCCGAACAGAGCATCAACTGTTGGCTCAAATCCTTTGCCCTCCATGCCGATCTGCAAACGTGATAACATTTAGTTAACTCACTGAAAAATTGCCTGACTGCAGAACTTATATAAAATATCTCCCGATGTTTACCTCCATCATGTCAACATCAAAGCCAAATGCCTTCAGAGTCATTTCAAGCATGACCTCCTTGGGCAGGTAGCTGGTGTCCTCAAAGATCATGTTGCCCTCCAGAGATCCGATCTTATAGTTGCGAGAGAACTTGGTGGGGTCCATAGTGGGCCCGATCTCATTACCCTGCAGGGCATCACGAATCTTCTGTCTCAGTCTGTAGGAAAAAAACACAAACTTAAACTACTGGTGGAGATTAAATCAGGATACATGTGCACCGTTTAGCAGCACTTACTCCTGGGTCTCAGGCACGCTTGAGGACAAAATGTTGGTCATGTGGGAGATGACAAAGCTCTTGACTTGTTGGTCCTGCTCATTGGGCAAGGCATTAGCCAGCTGGGTCAGTTCACTTGGCTGGGGGTCCTTCATGAGTACCAGATATGCAGCAATACGCTTTTGCATGGGGCTGGCGTTGTCCAACAGAACCTGCATGAACACTCCCCTCACCTGTGGTCAAAAGACACCATTAGAATGAGCATGTAGTAGAAAAAGAGATTTCAGCAACCTGTCAGACTAATTGTTTGACTTGCCTCCGCAGGGACGGGGGTCAGCCTGAACACCTGGATGGCAGCCTGCTGCACAGCTGGAGAAGCTGCAGGTTGGTTCACACACTGCATCACAGAGCCTCTGAGTGCAGGACCAGCAGGGATCACAGCTGAAGCCATGTTTCCAATCACCTAGAATCCGAGGACATGTTGATATTCTGCCTATTGGTGTTGACGACAATTTAAATTTTAATCTTTAGGAAATAAACTTACTCTCAGCTTCATGAAAGTCTCGTCCTTGTCTCCAGTGCAGTCGCCCAGCTGGGCAGCCATGAACTCAGCAACAGAGAAAATCTCAGGGATCAGTTTTCCTTCCAGTTTGTAAAACCTGTTAG